GCTCGTTGCTCGCTATAATCAGGTAGAAAATGAAGAAGTAAAACAGGCGTGTAATTTAGCTGGTCGTTTACGAAGCATCAAATTCGTTAGCCGCCGTTACCCGGGAAACGTAATCAATTTTGTGTCCGGCAAGTTTCGTGAGCGCGACAATTAAACGCACGTAAAACGCTACATTGGTAGCCGGGTAGGTTTTCCAATCGATGAAATTTCGTCGTTCGTCCGCTATGGCCGCGATTTGTTTACTCGATGGAACGTAGGTACAATATATGTATAGACAGCAACCGATCATTTCCATCGCGTCGACTCCCATACAAAATTTCGCGTCTTGTACGAGACACGGAAAGGAAGCTCGATATCGCAGCAATCTCGATGAGGAGCGCGATAGATATTAGGGTTGAAAAGCGCGATAACGAATTCGAAACCCTTTATCGCGATTACGCGGCCTATCGGTAGCCGTTCGAGCCGAGCGATCGATACTAGCGGAAGACGCGATAAGCGTAACGCGTACTTACTCTCGGGAAATTGAAAAATTGTTTCGACGAATACGGTGTATCCGAGACCAAGGGCAATGGAGCGTCTCCGAAGACAAAATGGAGCTACACGGTCGTCTTCGAGATTCGATGTCTTTCCAAGATGCAACTTGGTCGCCGATCGAGGCTTTGACGCGCCGTAAACTCGATTAGATGCTAGGTGGATCGAAGAGAGTGGCCGGTCAACGTAGAGGAATGCCGTGGCAATCGCGATCAGGGAATCATTTTTAAAGGAAGCGAAGAAAATTCTATCGAGCAGTGTCGAGTAAGCGATCCGGTGCCGGGTCAAATATTTACCCTTTTTCGATGAATAGAAGAAGCGTGTAAATGGTAAACACGGATTAGCGGAGAGTACGCGTACTAGATATTTTTTGCAGGTACGAGACTTTACGAAAGGTACGTCGATTCGAAATTGATGGTGCGCGCGAGCAATCGACTCTATCCTCCGGGCACGTTTGTTTATCTCCGGTTGAAAAGTAAATTCTCTTTGTCTTTGTTGGGAAACATTTCACGTATTCTCTCTTTCTCTCCCATATTTTGTCCCGGCTTCGAAGCCTCGAGCGAGCCAATCTGTTCGATGGCGGAATGCTTCGCGTAACATCGTCGATCTTTCGTATTTTCTGCTTCGTGCTTCATTCCCGCGGTTCGAGAAATTGCTGTCGCGAGAGAAGGTCGGAGATAATCAAGTTTTCCAGAGGCGTGTGTCGGTTAACAGTGATTTGGAAAAGTCAACATCAGGGGAGGCCTGGTTCCCACCACCTGCGCTTCGTTTTGTCAAAGAAGCCTTTACGAAAGCTGTTTGTCACGAGTTAAGGGTTAAGTTAAGGGTGGCGAGGTATTTTTAACGTTACCTAGTTCGTTTGAAATAACGTTGATCGATCCAGCAACTTCGAGGGATCGAAGCTCGTTTCCGAGGAATATAAACGACGCATCCACGGTTTTCGAGATATAAACATCGAGATGTAATACGTGGAGAAATAGAATCCGTAAAATGTTGAAACAATCTCGAGGCAGACATTTTGCCTATAGATGTGCGATTGAAAAAACAGAAAAGTCGAATCGAGACACTCGAACGGTGGGTTCGAAACGTGGCCTGTTCCTGTTCGCGCCGATAAGACCATCTTCGTATCGATCGATCGGCGAACCAGGAAGTCAGCTCCCCCTTCTATCTTCCACCTTCCACTTTCCACTTTCGTTCTCGAGGTCTGGAAATCCTTTCTTCGTTGTTGACTCTTCCCCTCGAGCATGTCGGCTGTCAAGGCTCGCGGTTTACTTGTCGTGGTCTCGACTGACACGCGTTCCTACATCTTTTAATTCCATTTGCGCGCGAAGGTAACCAAGTAGATGAAATTAAAAATCCGACGGATGACGAAACGCTCGAGTCAGGTGAAACGTCTCTTGGCAGTAATCGATCTCGTATACGTAAAGTAGATCCTTCCCACGGATTCGATTTGCGCTTGTAACGCGAACAGATCCATCTCAGAGATACGTCTCGTTATGAGATACGACGTTAACGATCACGTGGCGCGATGCGTCTCGAGGGGCAGCTTTAGCGATCTCCGTTCCAGTCTAGGTACTCGAAATTACACGTGTATCGTGGAAGTACGTTGGCACGTTTACACGGAGAGGCAAATTACGAATATGTCTACCTAACTATAAAAAAAGAAGCGTTAATCCTGACTCGAGATGTACCGCGATCCGCGATATTTATCTCGCGAGCGATTCCTGACGCGAAGCACGTCGACGTCGCGTCGATTTATCTCCGTTCCGGGCGTATTTTTCTTCGTCGAAAGCGTTATTCCTCCAACAATTGCAAAGAATATAGCGGTTAATCGAGCGGTGACGAGTACTCCATCGTTTGGATCGATGTTACGCGTTCGTGTCAGTGGCACTCGGTCGTCTCTTGACCAGAACTTTCCACTTAACCGACTCGCGCGAGTTTCGTTTTCGCGTTGCTGACGTTAGATCGAACTTTGCCATTACAACCGAGATCGCAATGTACATCGAAGCTGTATCGTAGAAATCCAGCGGAAAGAAACGAAACGAAACGGAGGTTCTCTTTTGGTATAAGTGTACGGTAATTCCGGTAGACAAGCCGAAGGAGAGATTTCTCGGCGTTCGGTGGAAGCAAGGAGAACGATTAAGAAGCAAAGAATCCTCCAGGGGAACGCAGATGAAAAAAGTCACCGGAGGAGGAAGGAACGCGTAGGGAGCTCAGAGGGTGGAAAGAAACGCGGATGAAAAATACGATGGGGGAGAAGATTACGGTGAACGCGTATACTCGGTAAACCGAGAAGAGAGTTTCCCGAGAAGTTTATTTATACGGTATAGTCGAGAGAGCGAAGAGAATTTTTAGACAGCTATATTATCCTGAACGTGTACCTCGAAGTGGATGAGTTAGGAATCAATCGAAAGTTTTCGACTCCAAGTTGCGCCTTTTTGGAGTTTCGAGATCCAATCGTTTCCGATTCGAAACTCACCAATCATCGCGAACGTACACTCGTTCGTATATTTATATTTGTGTACTTTGTTACTCGAGTACGAACGGATTGGAAATTGTCGGGATACGAGCCCGTCGACCATATCTCGATGTTTCTACTTGCATCGGAGTCTGCGAACGTCGACGGTGTACTACAGATGCGTATATCGTTCTAACTAGGAAGTAGGCCGTCTAAATAACTTTTTCGTCGATCGAGTACGTTGTTAGGTTCTCGTACGAATCACTCGGCGAAGAAAAGAAATTCGCGAGGAGGATCGTAAATGGTCAACCGATAACGTAACTGTATGGTTAGAGGAAGGTACGATGGTAACGAATCGGAATCGGATTCGAGTGGAGTGGATCGGACGGAGAATCGAGAGGATCCTTTCCGATATTCCGCGTACGTCAACCGAGAGAGGGATTGAACCGGCAGGCGACGCGACGCGAGTCGTCGGAGAGGTGGAAACAGGGGTTGCCGGGTAACAGAGAGGTGGGATAAGAGCTCCCAGGGGTGCCTAGCAACAGGTTGCTATCCTAAAATTTCGACCACTGGGAACGGTTTCACGGGTCGGGGATGAAAGCGTCGAGACTTCTACAGGGTGTTTTCCACGAAACTGCGACGGCTTGGTCGGAAAATTCGAGTGTTAATTTCGATTGAAAAAAAATCGTATCGTAGAGAGCGGAGGGTGGTAGATGACGCGAAATGAGCTGGCAGGTATAACCGGGACACGAAACGTGAATATCGATTAGTTCAGGCAATTGAAATTGTAACGGTATTGGAAAAAGCGATTTCCATGTGATTTTTTCAGCGTTTCGCGACCAACCGCACGAGTAAATTGAACATAGGTATCGCTAGGGGTTGAAAAGAGAAGACGGCTAAATTCGTAAAGAGATTACTACCGCTTGAGTCGGACGGATGGACGGATGTAATAGATTGGAATTGATTTTGCGCGGTCGATGAAAGCAGCAGATATTAATTCGTTGGCGGGAGTGTCGACGGCGCGGTGTGTCAGCGCGGAAATGATCGCCGATGAATATTCGATTCGCCGTGATCATTCGAGTCGCGTACGTTTTATTTTGGCAGCGGTTAACGGTTAACGGTGGCGTTAAATCGCGTTGGATGATAACAAGACAGGACGGAAGATTGATTCCGCGATATCTCGGTATAATTTACTTAAAGCGGAAATCGAAGAAACTCTAGACGAGATTTCACAGCTGCCGGATGCACCCAGCCGCGAATGAGCCTTCTAGTTACGTCCCGGTTGCCTCGAATTCTGCGGAGTGTACATAATTTTCAAACGAATCGAGGAACGTTCAAAGCTCGGTTAATTAAAAAAAGTGCACCGCGGTATCGATTCCGAAGAAACGCGATGGGAGGGTGGAGTGCAGACCGAACGAGAAACTGGCTGAAATCAACCAGACAGCCAGATGACCCCAAAAAGAATTATTATTATTATTTTATTTTCCCTCTCTCGGCAACGACCGCTCGTTTTCGGTTCTCTTTAAGCTGAAAGCGGAGGAAAGACACGAACCGACTGCACGGATTCGACCGTGAAACGTAATAAGGACAAATGGTCGGGATGAGGCTGAATAATGAAAGCGAGCTGCCGGAATAAATGGAGCACGTTTCTCCTACGGAGAAGGTTACCCCTGGGAAAAAATACATAAGGATAACAAGGATTCGCGTGACGACGCGAGACGAGAAAAGAATTTACGGCGGCCACTGTACCTTTCGTGTCCTTTTACGAATTACGGTTATCGAGACAGCGATATCGCGGTAATCTGCACGTGGTTCCGTGCGCTTTGGTCATCGTTGTGTTATCATCGATGAAAAATGAAACTCGAGTTCCTCAAGTTCCGCGGCACGGACTAGCTAACCGTTTCAAAGCGAAACTCTTTTCTTACCCTATTGTTTCAATTCGCGCGTAATCTTTAATGAGTGACCCGAGAATGCATCGGATGATACAGAAGGTACGATTATTTGTTCGCAGGATGTTGGGTGGCGTGGGAGGCCGGCACATGTCTACGCGTCGGCGGGGCAGTAGCCCGCTGGTGCGCGGAGGTGTTGGCCTCGCTGGATATGCTGGACCAGGGACCTCTGGAAATTCGAACGATGTCGCCACTTTACCACCGGATGTACAGAGATACGCTGCCAGGAGGCGCAGAGCGGTTACCACCAGCGATCACAAGAGCTGCGCCCTCGTTCAAACTCGGATCAAGTTTGGCGATATCACGTGAGTGTCACGTTCTTGCCACGGTTACTCTATACCTCTTACCAACGATTTCACATTCACCATAAAAAATCGATGTTTTATTGCGTCGGTATGGGTAGCAAAAACGAAGAGCCGCAGCCGCAGGTATCTCGGTTCTCTTCTCTTCTCGAGTTGGTTCGTTCGATGAGAAAGCGCCAGACGTCGGTATATACGCGATGGTAAACCGTCGAGATCAATAATATGGGCGATGATGTTCGTCTTCCTGGCTGCTCGTCGATAACACAAACTCTCTGGGACGCGCAACCGTCGATCGTAGTCGATTCCGGTTGGCTATCGGTAACGGTTATCGACTTCTGTCGATAAGTATTTTCGAACCAAGGGATGTCGCGACGCGTCGCGACGCACGCCTAGGCTCGACGCCGTTACCAGATGGCGGCAGTCGATGGTTGCGGCTGACCACGTCGGGGTATGCACTACTGCGGATGAATTAAAGTCTAATGCAGCGAAGTGTCCGTACTCTAGACGCGGACCAATTTTGGTGCTTTTTACGTTATCGATTCCTCCTCTCGATTGTTTGCCCGTTAGCTTTTATTTTTAGGGAGGACAGTCATTGTCCATTTGGCTACATTTAATTAGAACTTTCGTGCGCTCGGTTTTCCGGCGTTTTTCCGTGGCGTTCATCGCCGACTTTTGATCGCGGGAATCGGTCGAATCCTTTTTTAACGTTATCGTCGTCGATGTCTACGAATCGATACTGACATTGCTCGGTCGTAGATTTTTCCGCTCGAAATAAACGGGTCACCGTGGTCTTCTTGGCGAGAAAGCGCTCTATCTTTCTTGCCCTCTCGCAGACACCCTCTCTCGCGATATCGCGGTATACGTCTTTTCCTTTTATGCAGAGGAAAACAGAAATAAAATAGTCGTTCAGTTTTTATCATCGCCGTCCTTTCTTTGATTCCATCCACCCGCGATCGAACGTACGACGGCTATCGTCTCGAAGGTGACTGCTCGAACTCTGTAAAAATGGAATCGATAAAAGGAATCGACGTTAGACGGAACTAGGTCTGCGCTATCGCGAACGAAATCGCCAGGATTCCCGGCGTTTGTTATCGAAATGGCCGGAAAGAGCATCGCGACTTGGTTTCCACTCGACTCTCGTAGCGGCGGTATCGTTAACGAACGAATCGATGTTCCCTCGCGTTCCATCGGCGATCTCGCGACGACGTATGCTCGTTTCAGCAGACGCATTTCTTGGATTCCCGACGGTATCGTGTGGACGTAGTCCCGCGGAGATGCACGACCAATCGAATCTCCCGCAAAGTTGGCTCTCGACGGTCCTCGAACGATGAAGGATCGCGAGACGACGCACGTTTAAGGTACGTCTCGCGGAGCCCGCAAGAAAGCGAGTTATCATCGAAAGTAGGGGAGGAACGTCATCGAGGAAAGAAACGTCGCGCGAAAGCGAGTTAAAAATATTTCCATAACGAAATCTAAACCTAGCGAATTAAGGGTGTTTAGCGCTCTCCCAGGGGTTTCCGATTACGTCGTCGTTCTTTGTCCGCGTCTCGGACTCGCGAAGCGAAACCTTCCCTTGCCAAGCCGCGAGGAGAACCAGGAACGTTCGTGTGATTTCGGTTTTCACGCGCTCGGTAGCCTACCGATAGTCTCTCCTCATCTGCGATCGGTGATGTGTTCCCGTGGCGAATCGAGTCGGAGTCAAAGTCGCGGAGTCGAGTCGAGTCGAGTCGAGTCGACTCGGTCGTGTGTTTCAGGCTGGTTGCCGGCTGCCGCCGTGAATCAATACCCGCATTGCGCGTGCCACCTCTCTTTCTCTGTCCCTCGGTCTATCTCCTCTCTTGCTCTCTCTCTTCGACTCGACCATCCTCCTCCGTGCGTCTGTCTCTGTCTCGCGTGATATCATCTCTCCTTCCTCCGTTCTGCCCTTCTCTGTCCACTTTTCCACCCTCCTCCACGTGTTTTCCTCCTCCTGCTTTCTCCTTCGAGTCTTTCGCTCTTTCGCCCCTTCTCCTACTCTCTCTCGCTTTTGCCGTTTCACCCTTCTGTTCGTGGAACGCGTAGTTTCGAGCCGGCAGAGCGTTCCACGGGGAGGGTTGGCGGCCGATAGCGGCCTCTACGAGTTGCACAACCCCCGCGTTATGCGAACAGGTCTAACAAACGAGCACGCGGTTCGAAATAATAATACCAATAGTAGCAATGACGTCTTTGTATACGTTTTTGCGACATACCGTTACCACTCACCTACTTTCTTATCGACGCAATTTTCTTTTCGTTTCCTCCGACTTTTACTTTTTTTTTTTTTCATTTTTGCTTACTTCGAGGTATTTGTTACATCTATCGAAAGGCTTGGAAAATAGTTTTTGTTGAGTTTTCGACATCGTTGGTCTCGAACGCTCGATCCGCAATATCGTTTACTGGGAACTTTAAAGGATCTCGGGGGCGCAGACGATTCCGGATAGGGTCGCGATGAAAACAACCGCAAAGGTGGGAAGGTCGGTAAACTCGACGACTGCTCGCCGTGCCGGCTCGTGTCGCAGTTTCGCGTAGTCTCTTCGAGAAAGAATGTTTTCTAATAGGATGCAAGCGTAACGAGTGTCCGACTGCTCGTTGGGATTTTATTTCGGAAAATAAACCGAAGTTGCAACCCCAACCTCGGCGTCGTCCCTTGGCCCCGTAAAATCTGCCCCGGAAATGAGATCGCGAAAGCTCTTTTCTTGGTACTGCTGATATTTATTCGGTTATTTCGGTTACGCGAACTGGATTATCCCTGTATTTCGATGAAGTTACTTCAGTCGCGTGTACAAGTCGTTGGGGTTATCGTTACGTCAGTTTGTAATTCGAATATCGTCGAGGAAAAATTGAAACTTTCTTGAAATATTCTATCAACCTTGCACTCGAATGCGGAACAAACATAGTTCTATCGCGATAGTTCCGCTCGATGATGTAAGAGACGAGTCAACGTGGCGGAATAGCAACGAAGACGCGAGTATTCGCGCATTTGTTCGCCTATCTTGTTCGCGTGGGAGGATTAGTTCGAGCGCGCGTGAACAGCCGATAATACAGCCGAAAGGATGTTTCGCGTTTACCGAATCGAGTTATCGTTCCTTCGAAAATTTTCAGAGGAAAACTAGCATCTTACCGTACATTATCATTATTATATATTTTCCCCGTTGCTTATCGTTAGGGTCGGTCGATTAGTTTTTCGGTGCGATCAAGCGATAAAGTTTGAGGAGAAAGGGCGGTTTACGGTTCAATGATGGCGTGTCCGTGCGAAGCGTAGGCATTTTCTTTTGAAGACGGCTTTTAAGGACGAGTACTCGCATCACGTGTACCGGTAAGTACGTTAACGTGAGAGAAACGGATTAATTTGCGAATGACCGATCGAAAGCGAAAGAGATGGCACGGCACGGAAACCTTATGGTTCTATCCTCGGTATAAGGAGACGTAAATCCATTTGGCTCTGGTGTTCGGTGCATAGCAACCCTTACGTTAGAAGACCAATAGATGACGAAGCTAACGGGGTTCAGATGACTTGACTTACGAAACCCTATCCGTGCTCTTTCGGTGCAACGCACCGTTTTTCTTTCGTTATGCCTGGCAATGAAGTCGTTACGGAATACAGGTCAGAGAATGCGTTCCACTTTTCGTCGAGCGTTTGCGATCCTCGATCTAAGACGCACGGTCGCCAAATTTGATTCCCTCCGTGCGGGGCGTCGCCTTCGTCCGCTTCTTTTGATCGTCGAAGCGTTCCTTCGATTCCAAAGTACGTGAACGCCACGGGTAGCGTCGAACGGAAGATCGATCGGTCGATAGATACCAAATTAGCGGAGCGCGTCTTCCCATGAACAATTTTAGCCAAGCTGGAAAGCTCGATCGGCCGTGCTGTACCCGCCACGTTGTTACACGTTCTTGATTGGCGGCAGATCGAGTGACGTCACTTGCACACTTTGACAGACCGATCGAATGATTCGATTAAAATTCTCGCGGTACGTCTCCTCGATTTACCGACGTACGACGAAGGACGTAGTACGGAGAACGGAGAACCGGAGGACGGAGCAGACCTTCTGCGATGCCAGCGAACGATCAAACTCGTCGCGGGACGATGACGTTGTTTGTTTTCATCGTCTCGCGCTCCGCGACGAACATGAATTCTCACCCCGTCGACGACAGGGAATGCACCGTTTGGTTCCGCGTTGACGTCGATGAGGGGCAAATCTCGATTCTCCCGCGATACTGATACGATACGTCGCGAATAGCGATCGTGTTTCTTTCGAATATATTTTCTGATATTTCGGGATTCCTCCTCTTCTTTTGCTCTCGAACATTTCGATCGATTAATTCGATCTTCCGTGGGCGGATACGAGAAACGCGAGTTTCTCAAGACGATACGTAAACGTGGAGAAGTTGTGGTTGGTTTTATTTGGAACAAACGTCGCACGAGAACGTTATTTCTCTAAGGGATAAGGGAGGGTGCGGCGACGCGAGGCCGACCTTATAATACCCCGTGCGCGTGCGAAGGTTGAAACTGCGTTGCACCATAAATAGGACGACGACGATTAATGGGTTGAAGTTAACCATTCGCGCTCGAACATAGAGCTGCAGTCGATAAGCAGGCCAGCGTAGTTTCTGAACAAATTTAGGTGCGTCGAGTACCGCGTCGTACGCGATATTTATAAGACATCGCGCACGCATACATTTACTTACCACCCACCCTCGCGGCCGTGCGCACACAAAGACGCGCGTATATACGTACAGAGCTTGGAAACAATTATTCTTGAAATACGCTCATCGGAGTTGTTCGTGTCGACGGAAAGTCGTTGAAAAGTTCTCGCACTCGCGGAAAGTTGGCTCTTCCGCGAGCAGAATTTTTCATCTTTTCTTTCCTCCAAGTTTTTCGATTACTTTATCTTACGAAAAGCGAAATGGTTGAAAGAATAGAGAATGCTTTATTCGCGGGTACGAAGAACGATCAAAGACGCGAAACGCGAACAGCGTCATTTTTG